GGATCGGGCCAGAGATGTGTCGAGGCACGCCTGCAGGAGTTGGCGCACGTCCTTTTTTTTCTCCTCGAGCGTCCCACCCTCCACGGGGGGAAGTGGCAATCGTCCCCGTCCGGAAAAAAAACAGTCGTCGGGGATCAGGAGGAGTTGGCGCACATCCAGGTTTGCTGGAGGTGCGTCCAGAGATGCCCAGACGGACGCGGAGTATACCGTGGGAGCTCCAGCGCGAGCCGAAGGACGGCACACTCCGTCGACCTCTTGACGGCGCGAGCGAGGAGCACAGGAACAGGCTGGACGTCAAAGAAACGAGCTGTGCTGTCCTCCTCCCGGGCTCGTTTCTCTCTCTCTCTCTCTCTAGATTGTTCCTCCTGTGCCGGTCTCTCTCCTCCTCATCATCTTCCTCCTCCTCCTCCTCCTCCTCCTCCTTCTCCTCCTCCTCCTGCTCCTCCTGCTCCTCCTGCTCCTCCTTCTCCTGCTCGCTCCTTCCTCCCTCCTCCTCCTTCTCCTCCTCCTCCTCCTCCTCCTTCTCCTCCTCCTCCTCCTCCTCCTCCTCCTCGAGCGCCCAGGAACGAGCTGGACGTCAAGCTGGTCACCGCGATCTTCGCCCAGCTCCCCGCCCAGCTGCGCAAGGCCCCTCTTCGGAACGGTGCCGGGTCTCGCTCGAAGGCACTTTGGAGGCTTTCTGACGTCCCTTTGCCTTCTTTGACCTCGAGGATTATGATGTTCCAACCTACTTTAGCCTTGAGCACCAGAAAGGAACTTCGAGCACCAGCAAAGTACCGAAACCCGAGGGTTTTCACGCGTCGGGCCCTCGGAGACACTCGTCCGACACTGTTTCGACACTCGTTCGACACTCTTCCGATGTTTTTTCTGGGTGTTCGAAACTATTTTTGGGACGTGGTCCTTCAATATGATGGGAGCAACATAACTCGAGGAGCGAAGAGGGCGTCCCTCGTGGAATACGGCTCGAGTTGGCCAGAGCTCGGCTCTGCCGACGCTTCTTGACGAGCCCGTCCTGGAGCTTGACGGCCCAGTTTCCGAGGGACGTTTGCAGCGGGAGGTCGCATCGAACTTCGGGCTGGGTCTCGCAATTTTCCTGACGGCCCCGCGAGGCACACCCGAGTCCCCCGAACCCCAGTCTTACGGTCGAGCAGATGATTGAGAAACCTCCTCCCGAAAAGTGGGGCCGGCGTTTCTGGACCAACTTGCGGGAAAGATGGCCCAGTGTGTGGAGCACGTTCGCTCTCCAGCGTTAAAATTGCAGAGCCTGGCCCCGGCTTGTTGTCAGAAACTTCCAGGGAGCTGGCCCAGATTTCTTAGATGCCAACTTTCTTGATCAGATTGTCGGCTGCACGTCTCCCCCTGTCTTCCGACGTCTCTCTGCCCCTGGCTTCTCGGAGGCCTCCGGAGGCCTCTCCTGGCAGTCCGGGGGGATCAGGGTCCGGGGCGGAGGCAGGGCTTTCCACTGGGCGGCGAGGGAGGGGAGGAAGGAATTGAGAGAAGGGATGCGCGCAGGGAAGCCAACAATGACGCAAACTAAAAAAAAAAAAAAAACGGAGGTCCGCGCGGATTTCTCGGATCGGCGCTGGACTTCCCTCTTCGGCGCGCTCCGCGCGCCGTGGGCGGCGCCAGAGGCGCCGCCAGGGAACCCCAGCGCCGCTTCGAGGAATCCGCGCGGACCTCCGACTTTTTATGTTTATGTTTCAGTGTTTGTTCCCCCAGTGAAGGAGTGGAGGAAGAAAGTGAGACAGAGGAGTCGAGAAGAGGAGGGAATAGAGAGAGAGAGAGGAAGAAGAAGGGAGAGCAGGGAGGGGAGCGAAGCAACGTTGCGTCATGATGTCTCGTCTGATGCAAAAGGCACCGCACGACGTGCCAAGCAGACAGCAGGCGCCCAAGACCGATAGGATGTGCATGTCTGTGCGTATGGCACGGCGTGTCCAGAGCATGGGCGACAAGTTCTGTCGCTTCCAATTCCACCAACAAGTGCGGAAGCAGAAGTATGGTGCTGCGCAGCAGCGGGCATCGCAATTGGCGACATGTAGCTGGCGTGGAACGGAAATCTCCGCATGCACAGCGACATGGTTCATGACAGCAGGGAGTGGCTGATCACCGTCCAGAAAAGTGGCGCCGCCAGAAACGCAGACAGGAGGAGGGAGGACGAGGAGGAGGAGGAGGAGGGATCGGAATAGGCATCGGAACAGTTGCGACTCGACGAATGGTGATGCTGAGGAGGAGGAGGAGGAGGAGGAGGAGGAGGAGGAGGAGGAGGAGGACGAGGAGAAGGAGGAGGAAGTGGAGAGAGGATGGAGGATGGAGGATGATGGAGGATTGTCGAGTCTCGTGGTGGGCCTCCAAGCCCGCGCAGGCCTCCCTGGGGACCTGGGAACGGCTGTCGGCCGCCCTGGCGCTGCCCGATGCGCAGCTGCTGGGGACCGCTCGCGGGGAGCTCGAGCGGCAGCACGGACCCCGCGCCGCCGCCGCCGTCGCCGTCAGCGCTGTCGCTGGCGTCGGCACCGTCGGCGTCGCCGTCGTGGTCGGCGGCGGCGGGGAGGGAAGGCGGAGGAGAAGGAGGAGGGAGGAGGGAGAGAGACGGTGAGGACGCTGCACTGTTGATGGCCGAGGGAGGACGGACGGAGACGGTGAGGACGTTGCACTGCTGATGGCCGCCAGGGGGTGCGCACATGGCCCAGCGACCTGCTACAAGGATTGCCAAGGCACCGTGTACTGTATCAATGAACTGTTGTTGGGGTGTGCAACATCTGGGAGGTGTTCCACAGGCAGCTCCCAGGATGCAGGGCGATCGGGGCGAAAACCCGCCTTCCGTTCGAAGCGGCGCCAGGAGGCAAAGTCTCGTCCTACGAATGGTCGGGCAAAATCGCCGCCGGCCACTGTGCTGGCCTTGGCGCGCCGCTGCACCAGGCGCCTCCATGCCAAACCACCCGCGAGCCAGCCGGTGGACACGGCGGCAGGGCAGGCCTTTTGCTGAAGCTGAGACTCCTCCTCCTCCTCCTCCGCCTCCTCCTCCTCCTCCTCCTCCTCCTCCTCCTCCTGCTCCCCCTATTCTTCTTCTTCTTCTTCTTCCTCCTCCTCCTCCTCCTCCTCCTCCTCCTCCTCCTCCTCCTCCCTGCATGGCCGTGCGCTGGTGCAGGCACCCTTCCACCTGGCTTCGGGGCTCCCGCTTGGGCCCGGCAGGAGCCAGGCGGTGGCTGCACGTCTTCGCTGTGGGCGGTACGCCTGCAGGGGGGGGGGGGGGCATCTCTCGTCCTTGGCGCGTCCCTGCGAGGGGGTCCAGGGCGCCCCCCACGATCGCGTTCGGTCGTCAGAAGAAGCGGGCGTCCGAGCTGAAATCTCTCTCTGGGTCCGCCGGATGCTTGGGCTGGACGGTTGTGAAGTGGCTGCCCCCATCCCTGCAGGCAATTGTAAACCTGCTGGCGCCCAAAGCGCGCCTGCTTGAGCAACGGAGAGGGCCTCGAAGAGGCCCGTCTTGCGCTTGAAACCCAGCTCCGCGAAGCACGTCGGCGAGTCGCCGATGAAGAGTCTCCTTTGGCCCCAGGTTGGGCGTTCGAGTGAGGCTACCCACATCTTGTATAGGTCATTTTCCCTCTGTCCGATGAATGCCCCCGGCGCCTCGGTCATCGTTGAAGAATCCAAAAGATGAGAAGAAGGAGGAGGAGGAGGAGGAGGAGGAGAAAAAGGACGGAGGAGGAGGAGGCAGGAGGGAGATGGAGGAGGAGGAGGAGGACGAGGAGGAGGAGGAGTGATGAGGGGAAGGAGGCGCGCGCGGGAGCGTGCGCAGAAAAGGATGAGAAGGACTCTAAGACGGTGCCCTTTGGCTGGGCTTGGCAGGAGAAATCCTCCTCCTTTTCCTGCTCCTCCTCGTCCTCCTCAACGTCACCAGCACGCTAAAACATGTCCTCGACCTGTCCAGGGGTGCGTTCCTTCCAGAATTTCGAGGGGAGGCCGGCCGCGTCGACGAAGACCCCACCGGAGCCCCGAAAGTTCCCCAAGCATCTCGAACCTTTGATTTCGACCATCGAATGTCAAGCCGTCTTCCGTCTCAATCACCCGCTTTTTGACGAGAACCCATTCTCGTTTCGAGATCCCTTGGGCTCCCCGATATCAGCTCCTCCTCCTCCTCCTCCTCCTTTTTTCCTCCCACACTCCTCACGTGGCCGCCTTTTGTCACCACTGTTCTTATACTCCTCTTCTACTTCTAACCGCCTAATTCGTCTCCTTCCTCATGCTGACGATTCATCTTCCTCTTCCTCCTCCTGCTCCTCCTCCTCCTCCTCCTCCTCCTCCTCCTCCTCCTCCTCCTCCTCCTCCTCCTCCTCCCCCCTGCTATGCTTAGCTAGCGCAGCGTTTCACCCAGCTCCGTGTGTGCGACCGTTCGAACTTGATGTCCTGCCCACGCGCCGGGCGGCTCATGGCTTCCGAGTGAGCTGGTATTTGATGGCCCCCAGGGGCCCAGAAGCGGTCTCCAGACGCCGAGGCTGGAAACAGATCTCCAGCTCGACGTTTGGAGCTGCCAGAGATATGGGGAGTCAGGCGGGCTCAGGAAGAAGACAAGGCGTCCCAGAGCGCTCCTGAACGCTCTGGAGCGGCGGGGGGCGCGCGAAGCATCCTCCAGGCCCTCTGGCTATCAGAGGTTCCCGATTTAGGTATCTCGGCGCGGCTTTCGGAGTGCGCAGGGCGGGGGGTGGGGGGCAAACCCAAGCATGCGGGGCGCTACGGTGGCATCGTACTCTTGCCCAACCAGTGCACCACAGCAGTGCACCACCACAGCAGTGCACCTGCAGCCAAGGCAGCTGAAGCAAGGAACAGTTTGGGTTCGGAAAGGGGCTCGATGCTCCTTGGGTCCTTCCGTGGCTGTTCCTCTAGCCCTCCTCGTGCACGCAGGCGGGCGCTTCCGGGGCCTGACATGGGCTTCGTCCCTCGGTTTGCGTTCCTTCTGCTGGTAGTACCTCGACTGCAAGGTGCGCCATCGCCTCGGCCGCCCAAGCAGCGCACCAAGGGGCCCAGCGCTGCTCCTGCGCGTCGCCGAGCGGAGGAGCCCCCAGCGGCCCGCGAGGCCGCGACCCCATGGGTGCAGGGCGGCTTCCCGCGGATACCCCGCGCGGAAGGCATACGCGAGATGGTTTACCCATGGGGCCGCGCCTCGGTGTGCAGGCCGTGAGGGCGTGGATGTGGACATTGTCGTCGCTCGTGGAGATCAGAGAATAACAAGGTCCCGATACTGCTACCCTTCCCTCGTTTTCCCTTTCTTGGGCCTCCTGGGAGGCCCTCGTCGCCACGGCTGGATTCGCCTCGAAATCCTGTTCAGAATGCGCTCTGGGAGAGGTCCGGGGAGTAGCGGTATCGGTACCTTGTGCGTTTCCCCAGAAGAGGCTTCGGAGGACGAGGAGGGGGAGGAGGCGTGGAGTAAGCAGGGCTTGGGATGCGGATGAGGGCGGCGGAGGAGGAAGACGGGAGTGGAGCAGGAGAGGGAGGGTGGAGGAGAAGGATGATCAGCACTGGACGAGGTCACCTCGTCGTTGTGCCGTTGCTGCTTGGCCCGCCTGCTTCCTCTTTTTTCCTCGGCCTCGGAGGGTGGAGGGAGACGGGGAGGGGGACGGTGAGGGGGAGGAGGAGGAGGCTGGAGGAGGAGGCTGGAGGAGGAGGAGGACGAGGAGGAGGAGGAGGAGGAGGAGGAGGAGGAGGAGGAGGACAAGGAGGACGAGGAGGAGGAGGAGGCGGACGAGGAGGACGAGGAGGGTAGATGGAGGAGGAGGATGAAGGGAGGAGGATGGAGGAGGATGGAGGAGGCTGGAGGAGGGTGGAGGAGGGAGGCGAAGGACCACCAGGCTGACCAAGTCGTGCAACGGACGGACAGGAGCACGGGCCATGTCACGCCCCGATGGCGGCACTGCTGTGGTTCTGTCTGTACCTGGTGGGGCCGTGCGCAGAGGGTCCTGAACCTTGCCTCTCGAGCCGACCGTTGGCGACCGTACCCTGGGCCGCCTGGTGCGAGCCACATAGGATACAAACCATGGCCGCCGGGGTCGCCAAAACTTGGTGCCCGTGGAGCTCGACGATAGCTTCCACGGGCACCGGCGCCCCCTCGCGGACCGAGCTCGCCTCAGCGCCAGCCACACAAAGGTCCGGCACGAGACGATCAGCAGCCTCGAGCGCTGCCGCCACCGTGGCCGTACGCAACGGTGGGGCCCGTTGCAACTTAGCGTCCGTCCGAGCCCTGAGCCTCTGTGGGGCCGTGGGCTAGCAGGGCCCTTGGAGCAGCTTGGTTGAGCTGGCTGGGGTCTCGTTCTGGCCTGGGCAAGGCATGCGTTACACTGATGCCTACTTGGGCCCATGATGACCATACTATGTGCGGTGAGGGTCGTCAAGGGTCTGGTGGGAGCGGGCTCTCTGCACGAACGGGCGGGGTGGTCACTCAGCACATCCCGATACGTCATGCGACAGACGCACCATGTTATGCGCGCCTCAATCTTGCACCTGACAAAAGCCCTTCAGATGACTTATTCAACGTGTCCGCCAGCTCGTGAGTCATCGCCCCCATGTTCGCAAGCCTGTCCACCTAATCATTCCCGAGATTGTACTCCCACGTGTGCTGAGCGTTCGTCGCACACTCCTCCTTTTTTGTTAAGCAGGACACCAGTAAACGCCGGGTGGTGGTCGCTCCTGCAAGGAGGCAAAGATGCTGCTCCACAACTCTGCATACTGCGCCTTGGCGTCGGAGTTATGCTCATGCCACCCCTTCCACGAGCGAGGACGCATCCGACACAAGGAGGGAAACTTTCAGGAGTAACCCGAGTGCTGCCAGTAGAGCTGCACGTTCAGCTCGTCATCTGGTTTGGATGGGCCCTTCAAGCGGTCCATTCGCAGCGCGAACAGGAAGGACGTTCTCACAGAGCTGACATATCCACATCTTCTCAGCTCGGGCCATGACGGGGCCAATCCAGACCGATCAGTATGTGCCAGGGAGGGAGGGCCACGTGGTCTTGACCGAGCTCCAGTCACCCCATAGCTTCACCTCGAGCCCGTGAAGACCTCAGGAGGAAACTGAGGACACAGCGGCATGCGTATGCAAGCATCAAACCTATCCCAGTCGGGGCCTGCCAGCACTTGATACCCTCTTTCGCTTAGATAAGAATAAGGAGGATCATGAGGAAGGAGGCTGGAGGATTAGGAGGAGGAGGAGGAAGCGGAGGCTGGAGAAGGAGGAGGAGGAGGATGAGGAGCTGGACCAGTGCAAGCCCAAGACGCGTTAACGATGTTGCGGTAAGTCCTCCCTCCATGTTCCCTCGTTTTCAATGCGGGAAGTGCCACATGGAAGGACAACAGCCTGAGAACCCTCACATATGCCAAAACATCATTCCTGAGACTTCGACACCGCGATTCAACATGGCTTATGCGCGCAGACAATCGTGAACGGTGCCAGAACATCATTCCTGGGAATTCAATTCTGGGGAGCAGTGTGATTGTTGAGTCTGATAGTCCCAATTCGCGCCAGAACGTAATTCCTGGGATTTCTACTTTACGGATCCCCAAAGCTGGTGCACCGTTTGAAACGAAAGTGCGCGGCGCTAAGGCGAGAGCCACATGTTTGAAACCAGCCGCCCTCCATTCGTGAAACCGCTGCGGAAGTTTGAAATTAATGTGCGCGACGTTACAGCGAGAGCTACTGTTTGAAAACCACCCGCCCTTCATCTTTAAAGTTGCTGCAATTTCCGAGCTTCAGGATTATGCATGGTGCGGAAACTCAGACGAAACGCTTGATCCGCCTTGCCGAAACGTCCTGGGGCGCGACATGGAGGAGTTGTTTTTAAGGAAAATAGATGCAGGAGGGTGTAACCAGGAGGCCCCAGGGTTGAGACGATGTTGCCGTCGTCGCAATGGGTGGGCGGCGGAGGAGGAGGAGGGTGGAGAAGATGTAGGGGGGTGGAGCGTGGAGCAGGAGGGAGGGCGGAGGTGGGTGGAGGGAGGACGACGAGGAGGATGAGGAGGGGGAGGAGGAGGAGGAGGAGGAGAGGAGGAAGGAAAGAAGAAGAGGGGGAGGAGGAGCGAGGAGGAGGAGGGAGGAGGAGGAGGAGGAGGAGGAGGAGGATGAGGATGAGGAGGAGGAGGAGGAGGAGAAGGAGGAGGATGAGGATGAGGATGAGGGAGGAGGGTGAAGGGCAGGAGGGAGGAGGGGGAGGGGAGGAGGAGGAGGAGGAGGAGGAGGAGGAGGGAAAGAGGAAGGAGGAGGAGGAGGAGAGAGGAGGAGGAGGAGGGAGGAGGTGGAGGAGGAGGAGGAGGAGGAGGAGGAGGAGAGGAGGGTGAGGAGGAGGAGGAGGAGGAGGAGGAGGAGGAGGAGAGGAAGAGGAGGAGGAGGAGGATGGAGGAGGAGAGGAGGAGGAGGTGAGGAGGAGGAGGAGGAGGAGGAGAGGGATATAGAGAGAGAGAGAGAGAGAAGGGTGGAGGAGGGCCAGAGGTCTGGGCGTCGCCGTCCTCGTCGGGACCGCCGCTGCCGCCGCCGCCGCCGCCGCAGCTGTCTCCGTCGTCGTCATGGCGAGGGCCCTGCGGCCCGCGAGGGCTTGGCCACGCCGTTGGCCAGCTCGTCGCGCGGGCCTCCTCGAGGCGCGGGGGGGCCCCCCCCCCCCTGGACAGCCGCCGCCCTCTGGCGGCCCCTCGGCGGCCCACGCCAGGGCATCGTCGTCGTCGGCGTGGCCGCCGCCGCCGCCGCCGCGGCCGCCGTCGCCGCCGCCACCGCCATCGTCGTCGTCGTCGTCGTCGTCCTCGGATGAGGAGGAGAAGGAGGAGGAGGAGGAGGAGGACGAGGAGGAGGATGAGGAGGAGGAGGAGAAGGAGGAGGAATAGGAGGTGAAGGAGGAAGGAGCGTGAAGATAAGTCGCGCGTCGCGGTCTGGGCCAGGGCGGCTGCCGTTCTCTAAGGGGGCGTCGCGAGGGCGCGAGGGCGCGATGTAATTTTGCGCCGCGCATCGCGGGGCGCGATGCGCGTCTCCTCCTCCTCTTCCTCTCTGCCTCCTCCTGCTCCTCCTTATCCTCCCCATGATCCTCTTGCTCCTCCGTCTTGCTCCAGGTATATGTCTTGCTTCCGTTGCGTAGAGCTGCGGGGGCCTCCCTGGCTCGGTCTCATGTTTGGAGGCCCGGCCCTGCTCCACAATTATCACACATTCTGAATACTACTTCCCGCTCTTTCTCTCTCCGCAGTCGTCTTCACACAGAGGATGCCAAGCATTGGCTTCCCCGCTGCGTTTTCTGCACCACGATTTCTCGGTGTTTCCAAATGGTGCTCCCGCTGCAGCGGCGGCCTCGTGCTCGGATTGGCGTTGTGCTCCCGTCGTTCAGAATGGCGCTCTCGCCCCGGCGCGGGCCACTTTTCTGGATCTGGTCCGATCCGGGCATTTCTTTTCCTCCGCCTTTCCCTGGCCCTCCGCCTCCGACGACGGTTCTTGTTTGAGCTCCAGGTCGGCTACGACACGCGACCGCGGATAGAGGAAAAGCATCAGCGGCGACGGGGAGGGGTGGGAGGGAGGGGCAGGATGTCAGATAGGGCGCTAGCGCGTCCAGCTTGCCCCTCGCCCTCTCTCCCTTCTCCTCTTCCCCTCTCGAAGTCTCGAAGACCCCGAACACTGCATAGACATACACTTCCGGAGGTGCGCGCGGATGTCTTTGAACGGGGGACCAGTGGGCTTAGTGTCTGGGGGACGGGTGGGGACTGCCCCCCCTTTGCCGCTCTCCACGCGTGGCTCTGACCACCCCGGCCATGCTCCTCTCCCTCCTTTTCCTCGCTTCGCCGCCTTGCAATTGCTCATCAAACCCTCCTCCTCCTCCTCCTCCTCCTCCTCCTCCTCCTCCTCCTCCTCCTCCTCGTCCTCCTCCTCCTCGTCCAGGTACATGGAGCGCAGCAGCGACCCCGCTGCCGCCGCCGCCATGGCGTTCCGCTGCGCTGCGCTGGAGGGTCGGGGCGGGTCGGCCAGTCGTCGTCGTCGTCGTCGTCGTCGTCGTCGTCGTCGTCGTCGTCGTCGTCGTTGTTGTCGTCGTCGTTAGTAGGAGGAGGCGGAGGAGGATGAATATGAGGATAAGGAAGAGACAGCAGCGCTACAGCAGCAGCGCTCCTCCGAGTGTGGCGGGAGGGCGAATGCGGAGAAGAGGGGGATGAGGATGAAGAGGCGAAGGAGGATTAGGCGGAGGAGGAGGAGGAGGAGGCGGAGGAAGGGGAAGAGAGGGAACGAGAAGAGGAGATGAGGAGAAGGAGGAGGAGGAGGAGGAGGAGGAGGAGGAGATGAGAGGAGGAGGAGGGCGACGACGACGACGACGACGCGGATGCGGACGCGGAAGAGTAGGATGAAAAGATGAAAAGGAGGAGGACGGTGACGACAAAGTGGACGAGGGCGGCGGACGAGGAGGAGGAGGAGAAAGAGGAAGAAGAGGAGACAGACGAGGAGGAGGAGGAGGAGGAGGAGGAGGAGGAGGAGGACGACGAGGCGGACGAGGAGACGGAGTGGGGCGGGGAGGAAACGGGGCGGGGAAGGGAGGGAGGGTTTTTGTTTTGCCTGCGCGGAGTCCTCTGCTGAGACAGCTCGGGAGGGATAGATGAGGAATTGACAGGGGGTGGGAGAGGGAGAGGGAGAGTAGAACTGGGGGAAGCGGGAGGGGTTGGCGTCTCGTCACTAGACCACTGGAAGGTTCGCCTATGGGAGGTCGGCTTGTCCCGCGCGCCCGAGTTGCCAGTGGCCGTTGATTCGGTGGGGGGGGACGTCCTGAGGAAGCAGAGCGTGTGGAGGAGCAGCAGCTGGCAGCAGGCTGAGGCCCGAGCCGACATCTTGGATGCCGCGGGGCCTCGGGCGTTGCCTAAAGGGGCGGGGCGATGCATGGGGGGGGGGGCGATGCATGGGGGGGGGGCGATGCATGGGGGCGAATGGGGGGAGGGGGGTCGAGAGAGGTCCCCTGGGGCCCAGAGGGGGCGCAGAGGTGTGACCGTTCGCCCCCCCCCCTTCGCCCCCCCCCAGCGCAGTCGAAACCCACATCGCAAGGACGAGCGACTTTCCACGGCGACCCTTGCAGCCTTCCCGTTCGGCCCGCCCTCGGCCACTCTCGCGGGTCGCGCCCCGCCCGCAGGGTGTCGACGTGGCCTCCCACGGCCCCCGCACCCTCCTCGTGCGTCCTTGCTGGACCGGCCGCCAGCAGTCAACGCCCAAGGGCCTCTGCCAGGCGCGGGGGGCGGTCGGCGGCGCCGGTGGCGGGGGCGCCGCGGGCGTTGCGCGCTCCCCGCGGGCAGTGTTCGCGGGGACGTCGCCTTCTTTTTCGGCGGCGAGCGGGGGGGGGGGGGTAGTGAGAGAAGGGCGCCGGGCCGTCGCCCTTTTTTCGGCGGCGGTTTGGGGGGGGGAGGCGAGCAGGGCCGGGCCTTCTTCTCAGAAGGCTCGGAAGTCCCCCCCTGCCTGCTGAGGAGCTGTCCACGCCCTCCCGGAAGACAGAAGGCCTCTCCGCAGGCGCGAGGGCTTCCGAGAAGTCCCGCCGCCTTCTGAGGGGGCCTTCTCCTCCTCACTTCCCCCCCTCGCTCGCCGCCGACTCTTGGCCGCGGCGGCGTGCGTCTGGATGAGCCTGCCGGGCAGCGGCGCTGCCAATCCACAGGGCCCGTGGCGGCGTGGCGGTGCGTCGCCGGCGCGCGCCGTCCTCGTTGTCGCGCCTCTGCTGGAGGGATGAGCCCAGCGCGGCGCCCCGCCGCGCGGGCTCGCGGGGGACGGGCACGCGCACCGCGCGTGTGCGCCCGTGCTTTGCGTCTGCGGCCGCGCGGGTGGCACCGCGGCGGGTGCTGCGCTGCCCTGGGAGAGTCATGCAGCTTTCGGCGTCGATGTTTTGTTTGGTTTCGTCGCCCTCGGCTTCCCGTCGTGTCTGGCCTCCTGGAGCCGTCTTCGGGCCGCGGGGCCGTCAGAAACAGATCCGGGATGCATCACTACGCCAAGGGAAGTCCCTCGGACGAGCATTCCACGACCTGCAACAGCTACATCGCTTTTCCGGGGGGGCGCGCTACATCACTTTTTCGGGGGGGGGGGGGGGTGTACGGCGGGCCACGTCTGGTTCGATTACCACCTGGCCTTGCGCATGGAGGGTCAGGAGGTGACTGGCGCATGCAGTTGAAAACCGCCGAAGCGGATGCACGTGGAAGATGCCAGAGGCCATGCGAAACGGTGTGGGTGGGGCCACGCGGACGAATGCAGAAGAGAATTTCGTTCGTCTGATCCTCACAGCCCGCTGCGCACTGAAAGGAGCAAGCCCACGTGTGTGTGTGTATACACACACACACACACACACTCCCTTTTTCATCCAGCGGTCGAGTGACGTCGCAGCAGCGAAGGCTGAGGCGGCGTCGCTGCAGCGAAAGCTGAGGCGAGCTGCCGCGTGCACGCGCGCGCACTACTCTAGGGGGCGTCGCGGCCACGCGCGCAGCCGCGGGGCAGAGGGAGTCGGAGAAGAGACCAGAAGAGCCGCCGAGGCCACCGACGCCGCTGTGCACCACACACGCACACAAAGATATGCACACACACACACACACACTTCGTCTTCGGCGAGCGCTCGCTCCGCGACGCGTTGGTCATGGTCTGTGAGTGAAGCGACAGGGAGCGCTCCCTCGAGAGCTTGCCCCCTTGAGCGCAGGCGAATCGGGTGCTTCCACGAGGTCGTGATGTGTGTGTGTGTGTATGGGCGGCACACTCGCGTTGTTCGTTTCGACCCGATCGGTCGATCCGATTCGATGGCGATTCTGGCTGGCTCGATCCGATTCGATTCTGGTTTTCTGGCGTTGCGATGCGATGCTGCCCGGTGCTCGCATGGCGCTGTTATGGATCGGGTCGCGGCCGATCCGAATCGATGTCGATTCCGTGTCTATGCAGCCGGATCCGACGCACATCCTGATCCGATCCGATTTCCCGATTCGGTGCTGGCGGGTCTTGCCCCCGTTCCTGTAGCGAAGGGTCGCCCTTGAGGGTGCTTTCCCATTTTGCAGCGGCTTCTCGAAGCGCGCGTCTGTCTCTCCCACTGTCGCGCCGTTCAGTTGGCGGAGAGGCCCCATGTCCTGGGGAGGGGCGGGGGGCCGCGCGAAACGAGGCGGACCGTGATCGTGAGGAGGAGGAGGAGGAGGAGGAGGAGGAGGAGGACCAGTGTAAACCCAAGGGTCATCAACGATGTTGGAATAAACCCTCCCTCCAGGCTCCCTCGTCATAGGCCCCTACAACGGTTCATTTCCACTCAGGGAACTGCCTCGTTGGAAGACAACCGTTTGAAGACCCTGAAGCATGTCAAAACGTCGTTCTCGGGATTCCAACGCCACGGATCAACCTGACTGTTGCGTCTTGGCGATCCTGAATCGCGCCAGAACGCCATCACAACACAGCAAACCAACGTAACTGTTGCACCTGCGTAATCCTGAATCCGTCTAAAACACCATTGTTGGTACGTAGATGATGGGAATCCATGAAATGCTTGCAAATCTCTAATACCAGTGTGCGCGGCGCTAAGGCGAGAGCCACATTTTGATAAGGAACCGCCCTTAATCCGTGAAGTTCCTGTAAATGTTTGCAGCGATTGGGCTCGGCGCTAAGGCGAGAGCCACATTTTGAAAACGACCCGCCCTCAATCCGGGAAGCTCTTGCAAATATTTGAAACGAATGTTTGCGGCGCTGAGACAAGAGTCACATGTTGAAAACGACCCGCCCTCAATCCGTGAAGCTCTTGCAAATGTTTGAAACGAATGGGCGCGGCGCTACGGCGAGAGTCACATTTTGAGAACGACCCGCCCTCAATCCGTGAAATTCTTGCCAACTTTTAAGCTTCAGCGTCATACATGGTGAGGAAGTCTCAGGCGGAAAGCCCGGCCTGCCCTAAAAACTGGCCTCGGGGTGCGACAGGGAGAAGTTATTTATCAGGAAAAGGAATGGCTGAGGAGGAGGAGGAGGAGGAGGAGCAGCAGGAGGAGGAGGAGGATGAGCAGGAGAAGGAGGAGGAGGAGGAGGAGGAGGAGCAGGAGGACGAGGAGGAGAAGCAGGAGGAGCAGGAGGAGGAGGAGGAGGAGGAGAAGCAGGAGGAGCAGGAGGAGGGGGAGGAGGAGGGTCTCCCGTGGAGAGCGTGAAGATAAGTCGCGCGTCGCGGTCTGGGCCAGTGCGGCTGCCGTTCTCTAAGGGGGCGGCGCGAGGGCGCGAGGGCGCGAATATATTTTCGCGCCGCGCGTCGCGGGGCGCGATGCGCTTCTCCTCCTCCTCCTCCTCCTCCTCCTCCTATGCGCTAAGTTGGGTGACCTTTTTGGTTAGCGTGTCGCGCCGCCAGTTCTGGCCCACCACGCCGTTGCGCGATACGCGAAGTCCGGGTCCCAAGGCGTCAAAGTTTTCGAGCCTTTCTCGGCCTCCCGCCACGCGGAGCGGAGCGACGCGCTGTCAGCTTGCAGGACACAGCGCGTCGCCGGGGCCGCCGCCGCGACGTCGACGCGCTGGGCAACAGTGCCCGACTGTGATTCATTCTTGGCGCTCGCGTATCCCCACCAGCCCATCCAGACACGATCGGAAGCTTTCTTGAGGCCTCTTGGAGACTATCGTGAGCCATGTTCGGCTAGCGGCTGCTGGAGGCTATCCTGAGCCATGCTCAGCTATCTTGGACCGTCTTGTGGCTGTCTTGAGGCCTCTTGGAGGTCTGTCGGAGGCGATCTTAAGACATGCTGGACCTCCTGGGACTATCTTGGGGGTAGGAGGAGGAAGAGGAGGAGGAGGAGGAATATGATGATGGTGATGATGCTGATGATGATGATGATGATGATGATGATGATGATGATGATGATGATGATGATGATGCTTATGATGATGATGGCGATGATTATGATGCTGATGATTCTGATGCTGATGATTATGATGCTGATGCTGATGATGCTGATGCTGATGCTTATGCTTTTGATGCTGGTTGTGATGATG